GCCTTCAGACCGTATAATAGGTTAGAAACGGACAGCTGACGGACAGCAAAACGATATATCTATGTCATTTTCTTGTCGAAACAAACACATAATTCCCATCAGTTCTTCATGCAACTACGAGAAAATTTTTCTTGTGAACAATTCAAAAATTTTTTGAATTCATTGGCTGAGTTGAATGATTCTGAAGTTTTGTGAAATTTCAGGTTGATGCCACCCGAATACGATGATGGTTTAGCAGAGCCAGTTTGTAAGTGCTTCACGTCTTGCTTTCAAAATCATTCCGAAGCCCAAAAGCGCCATTATCTGTTTTAGCTCCTTGAAGCTACGAAAAAATGATCAGTTGATCAATTGGGTTTACGAATAGATAGAAAATAACTTCATTGAACGGATTTTATGTGATAGCGCATATGGGATATGGGATATGTATCTGAGATATGTATCTGATATTACTATGATATGTATCTGATTCAATGCTACGAAGCTATCAGCAATCCTGTCTAGTGAATAACTAATATGTAATCTATCTTCAGCCTCCCTGAGAAGCATTCGCCCGAATTCTCGAGTGGCGAGTCGCTCGTTGCTCTCATCGCAAAAAGCCGTTCTCCATCCGGAATACAACGCGCTTCTGATGCAATGGGGTCAATATCTAATTCATGATATGGCTAAAACCACACTTGTGCCATCTTCAAAATGTAACGTTTGTCAGAATATCCGTGGTCGTTGCATGGCCATTCCAATCCAACAAGACGACCCAAACGCTAAGTGCGTTTTCATGATACTATATTGAGTTATCATTATATACTAGATGCATGCTCATGTATTCAATATTTTATTGTAACATCAGCAAAATTTTACACCTTTGCAAATTTTACATTTGAGTGAACGTTTTGGATAGTCTGACTTGTATAACTATTGTCCACAGGGCTGCAGTTGATAGATTATTAAAGTATCACTGCAAAAACCTGAATAAACAACTCAACGTTTTGCAGAAATCATTTGGAATCGTTCTCATAACACTTCGTTCACCTCATGAACTACGAACGTCTCCAGATAACATTCAAACTGATTGTGAGTCTGATTTCAGTTTCAAAGCGAATGTCTGCATTCGAGT